GATCTTAAACAACAAAGCTACTCTAACATTACAATCTCCCTAAAGACTACTGGTTTTCTTTCTCTGGAAAACCCAGACTAATACAGATTTTATTTTAATAAATTGTAATATATATATTTATATATACTTATGTATATATATTATAAATACACACAAAATTAACTTTCTCTGGAAAAAAATACATAAATACATATCCATTACATTATTATATACCAATATATATTTATATTATATTATTATATAAACATATATATGTAAAGAATTGGCTCCCATGATTATGGAGCCTGCAAAGTCCTAAGATCTGCAGTTGGCAAGCTGGAGACCCAGAATGCTGACGGAATAGTTCAAGTCCAAGTCCAAATGCTTGAGAACCGGAAAGTCAGTGGTGTAACTTCCAGTGTGAATCACAGACATCAAGCAGAAAGAGTGAATTCTCCCGTTTTCAGTCTTTTTGTATTCTGGCCTTTAAAGGATTAGATGAGGCCCACCCACGTTAGGAAAGGACAATCTACTTTACACAGTCTACAGACTGAGTTGTGAATCTCTTCCAGAAGTACCCCATAGACACATTCAGAATAACATTTAACCAAATACTTGGACATTCTGTGGCCCAGTTAAATTGACATATAAAATTAACCATCACAGTTTAAATTTTTAGCCTATTTTGCATGTACATATTTACTTCTTCAAAATTTCTAAAAACAAAAAAATTGTAGCAGAGCAAAACTAAAAATGTAATGTTGGAAAATAATAGTTAGCATTTAAAATATTTATCCATGATTTATTTTGCTTTCAGTATATTTATTCAAGTTCAGAAGAGGCAACTAAGTTATGACCAGGAAGCGAAGACTATTTGGTTTATTGATGTCTGAAGAAAATAATTACTTTTTGGTACTCTTATTTCTTAAGGGATTTTATGTGGGCTTTGTTCTATAATAGATAAACAATATTTTCAAGAATTCTATTTTTTATGATAGTACAAAATGTGGAATTTTGGGCTTATTTTTTTAAGACTTTTGTTTATATTTAAGTTATTGTATAACAGGTTTTACTATCATTTCTAAATGTATAATTCAAAATTAATAATGTACATAATAAAGAAATTCAGTATTTTAAGATAGTAGTTTTCATTTTTGTTATATTGTACCAGAAAATAACTATTGGGAGCTTTTGTTCTTAAAATGAAATTGTGAATTAAAGACAATGCTTTAAAATGTGTTTGATTTTGTGTAAAATAGTACTTTTAAAATGGCATTTTAAATTAACAGAATAAGGAATATATATGAAATATTGGGACAGGGTTTAAAACAGGTAGAAATAGAATAATAAATCTAAATTACAATGATTTCAATATATGAATGACTAAAATAATATTACTGTTTGTTGCAAAGATTTATTAACTAAAATTTAATATATTCAGACAACATACTTATTCTGAAAGTCTTGTAATTCCATAAATATTTTAATTTCCCTTTGGACATAATCCTCAGTCCAAGCACCATATTATAATACTGAATTTTCCCTGAAATTTTAAATATTGAATATAAAACCATTCAGAGGAAAGTATAGTTACTAGGATTATTATTATGTTTGATTAAATACTTTTGTAGACTTCAGCATATTTTGAATGAGTAGAAAATCTCTGAGAAGTAAATTGTTTCCACAGGTGTTTGAATCCAACATGTAGAATCATATACAATTTAGTGTGATAGACACAGATTCAGTTTCCTGCACATTTTAATAATCAAAATAGAATGTTAAATCTTTATTAAATGCAAAAAATAAAGATATAACAATATTTATTATAGTGTTATTATGTTAAATATATGGAAAGACAGTGGGGAGGGATATAGAAAATTTAAAACTAAGTTTCATTTGTGTATACATATGCAAATTTCCAAAGAAATTCTGTAACAGTATAAACGTGTTCCTGCCTTTTATTTTGGCTACTTATTAATAATTTCCATAATATAAGCATGGGATAGGGACTCCTGACAATACACAATCTTTACCCCACCGCATTTACTATTCCACAATTTTCAGTAAATTGCAGCATTATCCCAGGATTATCTTTGTTTCAGTCTGACAATATATTTGACAATATTGATAACTGACTAATCTCTCATGTTTCTTTTTCTGTGTATAAATGTAAGAACACTAGACTACACGTTGTGGGAGACATCGTGTAGTTTATTTCTTATATCTCTCCAGACTAGTTTTATTTAGTTTTCCTTTATTTTATGAAGAAATTAACACAAATTTATTCATAAAAATATTTAAAACATGTACAACTTAAAAACAAAGGGAAACATTTTAAAACTATACAACTGCTTGCAATATTATGTATATGTTGAGTATTTTTATGAAAAATAAAGATATAAAAAGTTGAAATTATACTCTATACATTGTATTTTAACATAGTATCTCATTTAAATGATTTACATCCAACAGTATATATGTAGACAATAATTTTAATGACTACAAATAATAGCATTGTACACATTCTAACATTAATAAGGTGAACATTTTAGTTGTCTCAACGTTTTTTGCCAAATTAAATAAAGCTTCTAATACATATAAATTATCTATCTATACATCTACCTTTTTTCATATTTTCCTAATTATTTCCTTCCATTAAAAGTATGTTCTTTTTCTCCTCTTAGAATAAAAGTACTAGCAATACAAAGATAAATGTACAAAAATATTTATTATAAAGTAGCTTGAAAAAACTATTTGAAAAATGCAATCATTAAAATAATTTTATTTACATACAGAGATTTCTAAGATGTAATTTTAGTAAAAAAAAAGGCAAGTTTTATGTTATTTATAATCTGATTTTTCTAATAATCACTGACAACTAAACCTGCTTTATACATGTAAAAACATATTGTTAAAAAAAAGAGGAAATATTTGATTTTTAAGAAATATGTGTTGAGGCCATAGAAATTTTATATATATATATATATATATATCAATCTTTCTCTTTTGGATTTTACAGTTTAGTGGGCACAACAAACAATTTTACCAAATGGGGTGAGTATCATAGGAAAGTGAAATGTGCTTTATAATTACAGAGCAGGTATATTTATTCTAGTCTAGAGCATTAGAGAAAGCATCCTTAAGAAAAAAAATTTTTAATGAGATTTGATAAATATTTAGTCAGGGGAAAATACAGAGAAGAGAAAGGGTGTTAAAGGGTGAGAGAAACATCTGCAAACATCAGGTATGAAAGCTAGAACAGGCCTTCTGAGAAATGAAGAAAACAAAACAGGCAAAACAAAACAACTGGTATGTACAGAGTGTATAGCAAAGTGGATAAAGGTGACAGAAAACACATCTGGAGATGAGAACAAGATTATGGATAATGCATAAATAAGGCTATAGAGTCCAAGGAAATAGAATAACAATAAAAGTAATGATTCTTTTAAAAAAGAATATTATCCCCTTTTAATAGAAGTGGCTTAAACACACACACACACACACACACACACACACACACACAATTTGCCCAATATAGCAGAAATTTGCATGAGACCAAGCCTGGTTTATAAGACTTTAGATTCATGGTTCTTATGCACTGTACCTGGTTGAAGATTTTTAAGCTAAGAAGTAATATGACTCGATTTATGATGTAGAAAAATCACCTTCTTTAGTATGGAAAATTGTTTGGAGTAGAACAAGAGGGAGGTAGGCATCAATTAGAAGATTGTTGCAGTGGTACAGATAAGATATGATGAACAAAACCTGGGTGGTAGCCATAGAGATGGAGACAGATGGATGGGTGGGGGAGATATTTCAGAGAAGAAAAGGCTGCATATGGTTATTTTAACATTGGGTAAAGGAGGAGTACAGTATGAATCTCAAGTCTGTAATTTTGGCTACAATAAAAAATAGATTCAAATAGTCAAATTGTTCAAAGATGGAATGGGACACTAAAGAAATAGATGGAGTAAGAATGTATTGGGAATTGTAAGTATATGATGGAAGAAAACAGAGCAGGCATAGGCTAGTAAAGACTCAAGTTTCAGAATAGTGTTAGGTTTGCAAAAACATTAGGATTTTTTCCAACTCAAAATTTCTGTAAATACATGATCCGTTTGTCTGTTTTAAATACTCAGTGAAAAATCTTCTATGCTAAGAAGTTTACTTTTAAGATGGGAATGAATAGAAGGAAGATAATTTATGAAAAAAATCCTAATATTTTCATCAAATTATTTATATGACCAATGGAAAAGCCCTGTGTGTTTTATATCACTTGAAATTTCAAATGTCTATAAAATACATCAACTTCCAAAAAGTGAGAACATCCTGGTTGAAAGAGTACTCTCCCAAAGTCATGTAGAGAATAATCTATGAGATTAATATTCTGTCTCTGGTTGGTCTCTGATGACAGAGCCTGTGCATCTACAAGCGATATTATACTGAAGGGAGGTGAAATCATTTAAAATTATGGTATATATCCTAAACATCATCATAATAATGTCAGAAATTTCTCACATCACCTCTTTGAGTTTAGTGATTTTAGACGTTAATCGAGTATATTAATATTTTACACTTAAGATTTATTAGACCAATGGATTTTTTTTCTTGTTAATGTACTAGACATTTAAATCTTGGTAGCATTCTATTCAAAAATGTCTTGGAAATACTGTGTTTTGAGAAATATATATATATATATATATATATATATATATATATATACTTTTTATTTTATTTTAAATGTAGTCTCATATAAATGTTTATATATATATATATATATATATATATATATATATATATACTTTTTATTTTATTTTAAATGTAGTCTCATATAAATGTTTAAAAATTTTGAGAATGATCAAACTAAAATGTTTAATATCTCCACAGTGAAAATTAAGATAACCATTGCAATCATTGTTCCAGTGATGTCATGTAGAGATAAATTAATATTTTCCAAAATTATTTTTTCTGTAATAACAATACATATATTTATAGAACTCTTCTTTTCTACCTCTCTGAAGCTTCACACTGACCAAGATAAAGGAGATGGAAATTTAAAATACATATTAACAGGAGATGGGGCTGGCAGTCTGTTCGTAATAGATGAAAATACAGGAGATATTCATGCGGCAAAGAAATTAGACAGAGAAGAAAAGTCCCTGTACGTTCTTCGTGCCAAGGCTATAGACAGAAAGACCGGGCGGCAGGTGGAGCCTGAATCTGAATTTATAATTAAAATCCATGATATCAATGACAATGAACCAAAATTCACAAAAGACTTGTACACTGCCAGTGTTCCTGAAATGTCTGGAGTCGGTAGGTATATGTTAATCCATGTAAACTAAGTTTTTAATTTTATTTTATTTTTTGCTAAGGTAGTTATTATGGACATACAGTTAGATGTGATCTCTTTCAAGATAAGAACTATAACTGAAACTACTATTTAGTGTTAGCTATCTCACTTCTAATTATTTTTGGTTGTATGTTTCTTAATGTTTCCTGCTATTTTGTAACTGACATCTAAAATGATTACTGAGAACAACTGTTTCATTGCATTTCAACAAACGTCTTTACCTTTACTCAAATGCCATTCAAATGGCAGTCAAGTTTAATGTATTTTGGCCTGAAATGAAAGGAATATCAAATAGTGTCAGCAGTTTCAGACAGTTTTGTTTGAATTATTTTGCATAAAAACAATGAATGCTTGCATCTGATAAATTTCTTTTGATCATGTCATTTGATCACTGAAACAACTTGATGTGGTAGGCATGGGAAATAGAACTTTAAATCCCCATTCTGTTAATTAGGAACCCTGGATTCAGAAAGATTAAGGAACTGAATTAACATCAAATAACCTGGTAGCATAACAACAATATTCCAAGTCTTTTTAATATTATTTTAGCTATGCTCCATCCAGCAATGGTTTATCCTGAAAACTGAAAATAATCATTTCATTTTTTAAGGCTGCCCATAATTTTAAATGCCATTTGTTATTATGCAATGTTTTTATCTGTATATGTAACTACATTTAGCTATAATTATATGAAAGGTTTAGATTTGTTAATGAGATAATAAGAGCTGATTCTTAAAGCATATTTCTAAAATAATAAGTGATATAAACTTACTATAATATCCCAAACATGTAACTGATTTTGAAAAATTGATATTTAGTTGAATATTATGTCAAAATCAGTTATAAGTATATAACTTTGACATTATTGTAATTAATACATGGGTAAGTCAAATAATTTCTTAAAGAAGAAAAACAAACATATCCACCTTTACTGAGTGATTGATATTAAATGTTTCTTAACTATGTGTGCCATCTAGCTAGAATGGCTATTTTTGGTTATTTTCTAGAATAACCAAAAATTTGTAAAGAAGTTATTTCCTCTAAACTCAGATGAAATCTCATCTGTCTGAGAAAAGTGCAGTTCTTCTGCCTTTTCAGGTATTCATTCCAATAATATGAAAAGCACTTATCAAATTGGACAAGACTCCTATGAAATCTTAAAGCCTAGGATGAAATATGAGTGTTCGTGTTTTCTTTAATATTTTTAAATATGTGTTAGCCTGGTACAGTTCCATGGAAAGTACTGGATTGGTCCATATAGGTCAACTAGTGGGCTAATGTATATATACTTCATGTCTCTTTGTGGGCTTATATTTGAGATAAAGATACATCTAAAATTATGCTCTCCATTGCAGCTTCCTATTCTTGAGCATTCTACAGTTTGGTTTTCCAATTAACACCTTTTAACCATTGTAAAACATATACTTTTTTCTTGTATGTATGTTATTTTGCCAGATATTTTAACACTTAATAGTACAAAAACTTTCACTTATCCTTCTCCAAAAAGATTTGACATACCTATAAGAGTAAAAAGTATAATTAAGATGACAGAGATAGTTGAATATGATAAATTTGGATAATTGATTTAAATTTGAATAACTTCTTAAATTTTCAAAGCATTACCTAATTTTTAAGAACAGAATATTTATCAGAGACTGTTTATGTTTAACCTCAAATAACCTGTATTTTCTCCTATATTATTTTGGGTTATTTAATGAGATATTATCTTCCACTCAGTATAGTCTTATAATTTATCTACCTAATTCAAATACAGTCTTTCTCTGACTATATCTGATTATATTAGTATTTATCTGAAATACTAATATAATCTAGATTCTTTTAATATTTATCAAGTGTGTAATAAGATCAGAACTGGACTAAGTACTTCTCTATTTTATTTTTTAAAAACCTTTCACTTGTTCAATACCTATATTAAAACATAGAATATATGTTTATACATAGGAGAAGACTTGCAGATTATCTTGTCCAAAAAGCCCTTAATGTAAGGCAATATGCATTTCGTTTATATAAGCTTTAAATTGTGGGTAGTACAATTTCTGATTACTGTAGACCTTAAATATGAGAATTTGGGTCAATGCCAATTACATTTCCTGCATGTCTACAATTACCAAAAAAAACAAGAAAAGCATATAGGAGGCAGCTATATGGCTCCAGCTGCAGATTTTGGTACTAATAAACAAATATTTAAGAACTACAGGTAAATCTTGATCCTATTTATAGAGGACAGTTATTATTTTTTATTACTAATATTGGCATTACTGCACTAATTGATCCCTCCTTAGCCCACTCATACACTTTGTACATATATCTATTTTTAAGCAGAAATGCACATATTATAAATACTAGGTTGGCCAAAAAGTTCATTTGGTTAGTGAATACATTGTTCAATAAAGTTCTTAGTGAAAATGAAAAATGTGTCTTTTATTTTTACTTAAAACTGAATGAACTTTCTGGCCAACCCAATACTGTATGTATATGTGGAAGATACTATACTTGGTTTAATTACCTCTTTTAATAAATAAGTAAAAATGAGCCCAAAAGAGTTAAACTGGCTTGCTCAAAAACATACAGAGATGACTTATTACTATACTAGATTTAAAAAGAAAAAAAGTTAATAAAATGCTGAGATAGCTGGATAATTTTAATACCTTACTGTTTTTCTCCACTGCAAAATAGTTATGGTTATCATGGAAAATGTAGTTTGGAAAACTTCTAATTTTATTAGATTCTTAGTGACTCCTTGAGTGTAGAGTTTTTCTTATTTCCTTATTTTAATTCAAATTCCTCAATAAAAGTAAATCCAAATAAGTGTAAGGAAAGAGAAAACTGCATTTTTCAATAAGATTTTATATATATGTGTGTATATATACATATATATATGTATATACATAAAATATATGTCTAAATAAAAAGTATATGTATTTATATCCTGAAAATGTATTGTTCTTTTGTAACTCTACTACCTAATTTAAAGGAAAATAAACTTATTATAGTTTTATAGATGTGATTTTCTCTGCTTTTACCTATACACATAACCATTTACAGAGAAATGTAAAGGGTGATACTTACGAACTTTGTCAGGCTATGTGTAACCCATATATTAACAGTTAAAGCCTGTGCATAATCACATAATAAAGAATGCCTCCTCTCTAAATGAAGTAATGTATAATTATTGAATTCTAACCTTATTTTCCTTATATTAGTGATTTTAATTTAAATCAAACACTTGAAAAACTACTATTATTAACTGAGGGTAAATGAAGTCTAATGGAATAAAATATAAAAATTCTTTATTCTCATTTTATCCTTCTTTCCAACACTGTAGTCCAATGTTCTCCTTTATACTGTCCCCCACTATGTGATTATTTTTGTCTTAATATATTTGTCTTTTCTTTTTCTGTCTCACCAAATCCTCTCCTTGTTTTTTCCCTCTGCCTCTGCTTCTTTCTATCAAATACACCATATTTCATTTTGGTTCAGACATGTGCCTCCCCATCCCTTTTACTGGTAGTTAAAATCAAATGACTCCAATGAACTCTTTAAATCTGAAACACATTAGCATATTCTGATCAGAACACTTAATCTGGATGATACATGAGGATATATAGTGAAAGAAAATGAGATACACTTTGAATTAGGTATTTGTAGCAGATTCCTACATTTCATGTTTTCCATTTTTTGTGGTCATTATACTTTGATTAAAGATTATCTATTATTTTTCTATATTTGCGTGCATTAATCTCCCTCAAGGCAAATTCCTATTGTGCAATTTTGGAGGTTTTTCATTGACTGGGTAGGTCCCTCAAAAACTGATCCAGTTCCCCTCCCACACTGTCTGCCCAACAAGGAATCTATCTGTAGTTTTTCACAGATCACACAAGTAACTCGTCATTGAATGCTTCATGTCCTAAACTAGGCCCTTTCTTAGAGGTACACTGCCTGTAGATTCAAATATGTGTCTAATCATATGTCTAGACAGGCCATTTAATACAGTATGTAGAATGAAGCTTCTTCATACTGGCTAGATCGAATTCCATCCTATCACCTACTAGCTGTGTAATCATGAGCAACCTCTATATGTTCCAAGGCTCCAAGGCATCCCATGTTTATCATGAGGATAAAATAATAATACAAATCAACTGCTGAGAACTCTGCCTAGTCTACGTTAAGCAATTTGTAAATGTTAGATCTTGTTATGACTTTGAACTAGAAACTCTGCTGGGCTTTAGAGATAAAATGTTGAACAAAAGCAGACATAGACCTTTCCTTTGGAGAGTTTACATCACACAAAACCTACATATAACAAATGACATAAATTTGTCATTCAGGCTTCACTATATTTTACTTAATATTTGTTTAATAAAAAAGTAAATACTGGGCCTCCCTGGTGGTGCAGTGGCTGAGAGTCCGCCTGCCGATGCAGGGGACACGGGTTCGTGCCCCAGTCCGGGAAGATCCCACATGCCGCAGAGCGGCTAGGCCCGTGAGCCATGGCCGCTGAGCCTGCGCATCCGGAGCCTGTGCTCCGCAATAGGAGAGGCCACAACAGTGAGAGGCCCGCGTACAGCAAAAAAAAAAAAAAAAAAAGTAAATACTTCTTTTAAATTATTTGAGAATAAATGAAGCATATATAGCTCAGAAAATTTAGAGGGATATAAAAATCAAAGCGGTGTATTTCCTTTTATTCTGTCTTTATAAGCAAATATTTATAAAATTAGTACAAAACACATAAACCATTTTCTATCTGATTTTATTACTAAATAGTATGAACTGTAAAATGTCCTTATATTTATGGAAAAATCTAGCCATTCCCTAGAGTTCAACACACTACATATTTTTCTTTTTCTCATTTTGCTATTATAAATAACGTATCAGTGATATGCTACCAGTGTTTATTAGTGTTTAACAACATTCTAATTATTACCATGATTCTGAGAGGGGGAACAGTATTTTATATGGGTATTTGTAGCATTTTAGCCACATTATAGGATTGATTTCCATTCTTTAATTTCTTTATTATTTTTAGGCCAAGTATTTTCAGGTAGGTTCAAAGATCATATACCCATGATAAAGAGCAAATGATCAAAACCAAATTTAACAACAAAAATATTATTAAAAGTATCAAAAAAGGATAAAGGTGTGTTTTTACCTGTGTGCATTATGAAATGATAGCCACAGCCAAAGAAAAATGAGTCTGGTAGCAAAAGAAATGTCATGAAATCAATGAATTAACTACTTGCATTTAGCATCTTGGTTATGCTTAATAATTCATATTTCAAATAACCCTCAAGTATGAAAACAATTATTAATCTAACATATGTTCACATAGGGTTCTATAAAAATAAATATAAATCTGAAAACCACTCTAGTTGAACATTTGAACATTATTGTGGGATGGAAATCTCTTTATGATTTCTGCTTTGGTCTAACTGGGACACAAGTGGATGTTTTTTAAATGATAAAATGGTACACCCGGGACTGACTGAGTAAATTGTACTGTGTCCTCTCACAGGACATATCAATTCCACTGCAGCTGAGGAAACAGAGGCTTCAAGAGGAAGAGCTCAAGTTCTCATCTTACACTAATTAATTTTGAGAAAACATAAAAATACTTCCTAAATTCATATATTCAAATATACTGATGGAAAATAAAGCTGTTAGTTTAATCTTAATGTTCAATATATTAATTTCTAGAATCTGCATAAGCAAATATATGCAAATTTTGAGAAACATTCACTACAACTCAATTAGACAAGCTATGCGTGTGTAATGTATGCTGTATGTTAAAGTAGGTTACAGAGCCAACGTGGAACTCACTTTTTCTAAAGAATTTAAAAATCTATGTAAGTATCAGAGTCAACATTTTGAAAAATTGTGTGTAATATACTAGAAAATGTCCTACAAACTCATTTTGCTCAAGGAATACATGGTAGGCTTTAGTTAATGGTAGTTTTAGAATCATGCCTTGAATCTTTATAGAGTTCTAGAAAATATAAGAAAGGTCAATCAATATATTACATTACCTTTAGCTCCTAAAACTAGCTCCTTTAAAGCTCTTTTATCTTTTAAAACATAATTATATGTGACAAAGTTAAGAGAAAATAATTTAATTTTTGTAAAATAAAATTAAACTGAGAGTATTGGTAAATTATAGTATTGCATGTGAGACAATTATACACTTTCTTAACTCTGGAGGGGTATATCTGCTGATCTACATATGTGTAGCAAGTAATACACAGCATATCAATAGGTATAATTATATATGACTATGTTAACTACATTACAATGAGAGGCACAGACACAATAATCATATATATCTTGCATACCAAAAATTTTGGCAATTTTACCTTTTGTGTCTTGATAAAAACAGGGCCCCTGTGTTTTCAATTTACATTATTTAGTTAATTTATCAGAATAAAAAGCAGCAGGAGTGCTTTCAATGTTGGATTTATCTTTGAATTCACAGTTCCAGTTAGCAATAAATGTATTAATTGAAAATTGTATGTGCACTGTATTCAGTGAAAAATTGTTTGCTGTCACAGTATTTTCAACCAATTAGTGCATATTCATCTTTATGATAAATTTTGCTTTTGACTTTTTTAGATAGCTCAATAATAGTAACAATATTATTAAGGAGTATTTAAATTTTAAAAAATGAAAGATAAGTGATTTTTAGCAGCATAATTTAAACAAATTTCTTGAAACATGTACCATGGTTTAACATACCACATTCCCAGTAATATGGTTTCATTAAGATAGCTTCAAATTTCTAAGTACTTAGTCTGTGTTTCGGTGGGGATTCATGTAGGTACATCTGTTATACAAGTGACTGCAACAGATGCAGATGATGCCAACTATGGAAATAGTGCCAAAGTGGTCTACAGCATATTGCAAGGACAACCATATTTTTCAGTGGACCCAGAATCAGGTAACAACATCTAATACTTGGTCTCTTTCTCATTATGCAATACATCTGGATGCACATTTATAGATTTTCTATATTTAAAAAACTATAAAGTATCATGTTTTTATTTATTCCTTATATTGATAGTTATTCCATGGATACAGAAGCAGAATTCCTATTATTTAAAAAGATTTGAATCCTTAGCCCTTTAGACTAGTATTTATTGAGTTTAAATTTATTACATTAAATACAAAATTTCACAGAGATTCAACACATTACATGTCTTAGGAAATACTCAAAACCAAAAAAAATGTGACAATCATCAAAATTAAGCTTATTCATCTAAAGACTTCTGACTAAAGTTAGTTTTTCTAGTCAAAACGATAATTAAATTGATCTAGCAAAAATTTTTTCCTGAACAATAGCCCATGGAAGAATTTTTTTGTTGCGTGAATTATGTTAACTTGGTTACGTATGGATTGAAAGACTTATCTAGGTACACTGACATCTTATCATCTGTTTGTTCTGATTAATGTCTGTAAAATGGATCTTGCATGGCTTAATTTTAAAACACAGTGACTGAACTGAAAAATATTTGTCTATTTTTTCCAAAAGGCATAATAAAAACTGCATTACCAGACATGAGCAGAGAAAATAGAGAGCAGTACCAAGTGGTTATACAAGCCAAAGACATGGGTGGCCAGATGGGAGGCCTTTCTGGAACCACCACAGTGAACATCACTCTGACAGACGTCAACAACAATCCTCCTCGATTTCCCCAGAGTAAGAGAGGTTTCAGTGATACCATGTGGAAAGTTTCTCAAACACACTATGAACAGTTTAATACTTTTACTAGTAGTTTCACTACTAGTTTATGGATAAAGATGAATCCACAACCCCTCCTCCCACAGAATATCACAATTTCCCACAATTAATTAACAGTGACTAGGATCATTTCATCATTGAGTAGGTAATGGAGAAAACAAGGAAATGAGGTTCTTTTTGGCAAATTTAATTATCTTCTTCTACCTTTTGAAGAGTTATAAAATTTTCCGGACTACCTTTCCCAACATTTCCTATGATCATCTAGTTCTTTTTCTTATCTATTTCCTGGTTATGAGCGTGGACTCTCAAGTCTGACCACCAGGCTGCAAATCCCATGTCTATCACTTGTCTTGCCTCAGTTCTCTTGTTTGTATGTAAGAATTATAATCCCTTATTTAATCAATTCTAAAACACAGGTTTGTTGATGTTTTAACATCTCTGAAATCAGATACTATATTAAAATCCATGCAAGTTAGTTTAATTGGCCACATTTTTCTTTCTTATCGGCCCATAGTCTCATGAAATAACTTGGTTGTGATGGCATCTGAGACATGTTAGAGTTTTCTGGTATCTGTTACCTACTTGTGATGATTAAATCAGTTAATAGCCTTTCAGTTGTCACGATTTCTATGTTAAACCATGGATTCTTTGCAAGCCATGAGGTCCTACAAAAACAGACTAATTCTCTGCTGAAAATATTTCTATGTTGCAGCAAATAAAATTATAACAAGTCCTATCTTGAAATGTTCTGTTAAGGGCCCTGAAATTTCAATTTATAACATTGATTCCAATACAGTAAAGCATTTTTTCCAAGCTAATCAAATCTGAAATACTTGATGATACAGCTCTAGATGGTGGACATATACAAATGATAAATATTAAAAAATAAACTTTGCTGAAAATATGAATAATAAGACTAATTAACATAAATCTAAACTTTGCATTCAGGTTCCTTAAACGTAAACTGAAAAAGTATGATGTGATGAATTCTCAGATGACTTACCACTCTATAATTTTATGATCTATTATAATCTCAGCAGAAGGTTTGGAACTCTAATAGTAATAGTAAAAATGTTCTTGAGCTAAGAACTGGGCTAAGCATGTTAAAGACATCATTTCATGGAATCTTCATAACAAACCTATGAGTTAATAGCTACCATCATCTCTATTTTATAGATGTGTAAATTAAGGGTTAGAGAATTTAACTAACTTGCCTAGTGATGAAACTTCAAATCCAGGGCAGTTGGATTTAGAAGTCCCTCTTCTTAACCACCCAGCAAATTGGAAAGAGAACAGACTTTGAAGTCGGGGAGACTTAGTTTTGCCTTCTGCTTTTCTCAGCTTTAAAGGATGATTTCCTTGAGCCTTATCTGAGGATAATACACTTGCCTTCATTCTATAAGGACTAATGTTAGAATTAAATACATTAACATAGAGGGCCTTTGGCCTTATATAGATTTCAACATATATTAAATGTTTAAAAACATTTCTAACTTTCATTAACATTTTTTGTGATATTTTCCTATCATCTCTTAAATAAATCCTCACAAACTAAAATGCTTTCATGAACAGGACAATGTAATGGCTGAAACTGCAGGAGACAGAAACGTTCATATCCCACTTAAAGACATTAACAAGCAAAAAAAAAAGAAAGAAAGAACTTGCTGTGTGTGGATTTCTTTTTTTCTATCCCTGAGTTAGAATATAAGAATAATGCATGTTCTAAATCATTTAGTATAAGTAAAGATGTGTAATGACAATGTTGAATGCTTCAGATAAGCAGTAAATAATTGTTGTCCTTGCCCTCTTAAGTCAAAAGTTCTGGATTTTAATATCAGGACTACCATCTATTATCTAAATAACCTTGAGACATTCACTTAATCTTTCTGGAACATATATTTCTCATTTACAAAATGAGAGTACTCTGCCTGTATAAATTATTTTTCTAACTTAATAAATCTATAATTTTTGATGGCTTACAATTCAATATGATGAAAAACTCTCATAATTTGAAATTAATTTATTTAAGCAAAAAAGGCAGAGGAAATGAAAGATTTTTGTTATCTAAAGATGAAACAGCTTTGATTTAATTTTCAGGTATGTATCAATTTTATTCGCCTGAGTCTGTACCTCTTGGAACTCATCTTGGAAGGATAAAAGCCAATGACCCTGATGTGGGGGAAAATGCTGAGATGGAATACAGCATTGCTGAAGGAGACGGAGCAGACATGTTTGATGTCATCACTGACAAGGATACACAGGAAGGGATTATAACTGTCAAACAGGTTTCTTCTTGCTGTCTTCATTTCCTCATTGAGTGCTTTATAGTTTATTTTTGCTTTTCAAGGAAGAAAAGCCTAGGATTTATTTTTCCCATCCTTTACATGCTTCTATCCTTGATATAAGTGGGAATAGTTGCGATTTCACTTCAAATAAATTAAGCATCTTTATCATTGACACTTAAAAACTGATATAAAACCTCAACAGCTTGTGCTTATAGCAGACAACAATCAAACAAGGATTAGATACTCTCAAAAGTCTTTGTTTTATATTTCTCCATGGTATTATTTCATTCACTGTTTAAAATATTTAAATTGTTAAGTGTGATGGTTTATAAAATTAGATGAAGCCTGAAGATGCTTGATTTTTAAAGCAGTGGAGATTATAAAGCGTTACACAGAATAATCAAGATAAATACTGATTACTTTATATCACCCTAATTTCCCTGCTTTCATTCACATCTTTTTTCCCACAGTGGTCAGATTAATTTTTTTTTCTTTTTAAAACAGTTTTAGAACTGTAGGACTTAAGGAAGCAACTTATGTGAATGGTTTGTTAAATCTCAATTTTATGTTTCTACTGATTTAAAATTTTTATAACTTTAATAATAATAATATAGTAATAAATAGCATATGTATTTACTAGATAATACTTCATTTACCTGTGACTACCAAAATGTAAAATGCATTACTAAGTGTGAATCAATCTTAATGTGTATACTATTATATTGAATTACTCCTTATAAATGTGTAAGGCAAAAAAAATTTCCTAATTTATTTGTTATACCCATGAAGCAATAACTGGGAAAGTTATTTAACCAGAATTACTGGGACTATTAAGAGAGGTGGTTTTAAATTTCAAAATTGTCTTCCATTTTTATGTCTGCTATATTATACTAATTTTTTCTTATTTTATTTAACTTCAGAATTTAGATTATGAAAACAAAATGCTGTACACTTTAAAAGTGGATGCAAGTAACACTCACCCTGATCCACGATTCCTGTACCTGGGACCTTTCAAAGACACAGCTGTGGTCAAAATATCTGTGGAAGATATGGATGAGCCTCCTGTGTTCAGTAAAATTTTTTACTTGATAGAAGTAGATGAAGATGTAAAGGAAGGCAGCATCATTGGACAGGTTACAGCATATGACCCAGATGCCATGAACAATTTAATAAAGTACGTATTTTGAGAAAACTTAAGTTTGAAGAAAAATGATAACCTCACTGTTTATAAGCTGTGTGAAAAAAAAATGTACCATGTATGATCAAGTACAGTAATGCAACCAAACACTTCCATAGCACAAACTTTTAGCTGGGCTGTCTTCTAAGTGCTCTGGATATATTTCATTTGACTCTTATCACATATTACAAGGTAGCTCCTATTATTATATCTTTCTGTAGATGATAAGACTAAGGTACCGATCATTTAAATAACTTGCCAAATAATTAGTCACTGGCAAAGCTGGGTTTGAGGTTCAGGCTGTCTGGCTCCAGTGTCCATGATTCTAATCCCTTAGTTATTGATGTAATTCTTGTCTCATTGCCCTTCTTTGATAAATCATAGTTCAAATAATAAGATATCTAAACAAATACATTAGAAAAGAAGTTCTTCTAGAAAAGCTTAAGAGATACCTTGAAAACTGATGAAAAACGTCTTTTGAAAATAGTCCCTAGGCACATTTTACATCAAAATTTTTGAGAAGCAAAATATCAATTATATTCTATTAATAAAACAGAGAATTGGTAAAACGAGTAATGATATTTGAGAACAGTAAAACTATTAAAAATTGGTATAGTATACTGCAGAATAGTGTAATACTTTCCCAAAATTTGAATATTGTATTAACCATTTAAAAGTTTTCAAATATGCCAGAAACTATGCTTCAGGAGAATATAAATATAGTTGTGACATAAATGGATGAATAGGATGGGTGGATGAAGATGGGTAGGTATGTTGATGAAGACAAAAGAGACAGACAAATAATATATTGTCTGTTAATGTGTGGCTAGTAAAATACCTAAAATTATGCTTTGTTTAAAATTTAATTTTTTATCCAACAAGGACCGACTGTATAGCATATGGAACTGTACTAAATATCTTGTAATAACCTGTAATGGAAGGGAATGTAAAAAAAAGAATATATATATTTATATGTATATATAACTGAATCATTTTGCTGTATACCTAAAACTAACACAATATTGTAGTAAATAAACTATATTTCAATAATTTTTTGATCAAACTTAATTTTTAATTAAGGAAAATAAATGGTTAAATATTTATTGGGAATGCCCAGATTTCCTGGAATTCATGTCATACCATCACATAGAAAATCAGTGAGCACAATACTAAGTATATAAGTATTAAATTTAGTTTAAGATGTAATAACTATTCATGTTAATTTACAAAGCAACGTTTGTTGCACTAAATATGCCCTAATTTATATTTAATTTCTTGGTCAATTAATATATTTTTAAAATAAAAGTTTGTGAAATTTTAATCTGTAATTAGTACTCAGAGTTTAGCTTGAAATATTTGGTTAGTTTTAGGTTAATTAGAATAGAATTGACTTAACTTTCTCTTTTAAATAAATGTTCAGGTTTAAATTATATATTTAGTATATTGTTAATTAATTTTAAAACATGACTTATAATGATACCAATGCATAAAAGATTATTTTACTGACACTTTTGTATCAGCATACATAAAATGGATTAATTTAAAATTTTCATATTATATAAAACAAAACTCCTAAAATGAAATGAATAAGTAATCTAATTTTCCAGTGGTCTACACATATGTTCCAGCATTTTTATATCCAAAATGTTTATTTATTTTTTACTGAAATTGAGTGTGGCTGATTGGTTTTGGCAACTCTTATATGTGCATTTTTTGTGTGTGTTCTTTGCAATATTGCAATAGAAATAAATCACCACTTATATTAAAAATGGATAAGGGAATGTCCATACCAATAGCTGTAAATGCTCAGTAAGTATCTGTTCTTGATAGATTTTGCAATTTTCAAAAAATAGTAGTCAATGTCTTTTCTACTTCAATTGTGGCACCAGATTCATGACATGAGACAAATATTTTGCCTATCCTTTCCTCTATAAAATAATTGTTATCATTTATTGAGCCCTTACTATGAGCTGGAAACTATCCAAAGAGCTTTATATTTATTAGATCATTTAAACCTCATCACATTATAAGGTGAGTACAACTGTTATCACCTACATTTTTTAAAAGTTTTATTTTATATTGGAGCAAAGTTGATTAACAATGTTGTGTTAGTTTCAGTTGCACAGCAAAGTGATTCAGTTAGACATATTTATGTATCTATTATTTTTTCAAATTCTTTTCCCATTTTGGTTATTACAGAACACTCAGCCGAGTTTCCTGTGCTGTACAGTAGGTCCTTATTGATTATCTAATTTTAAATACAGTAGTCAGGCTCACAGACTTAGAGAACGAACTTATGGTTAAACAGGGGGGAAGGGGGAGGGGGAGGGATAGATTGGCAGTTTGGCATTGACATATACACCTACATTTTAAAAAAACATAAATTGAGATGCAAAGAGTTTAAGGAACTTTACTAAGGACACTGAACAAATAATTAGCAGACTGAGGTTCAAACTACCTATGATCTGAATGCACAGCCAATATATCTTTAGCAGATATATTCTGCTTTCTTACTGACCAAATTATTAATTAGAGAATTAATATTGTTTCACATTCATAAACTGCTTTGACCGACCTCAGTGGTACAAAGCAAAGCCTCAAGGACAAAATTATACAAAAAGCAAAATATGGCTTTTGTCCCTCAGAATTTGGTCTAGTTTTTCATCATTTTTTCCATTTCCCACAATAGGACATTTCTTTTTTTTCCTTCCAGTTTTATTGAGATATAATTGACATATAGCACGGTAAAAGTTTAAGGTGTACAGCATAACGATTTGATGTGCATACATCATGAAATGATTAACGCAATAAGTTTAGTGAGCATTTATCATCTCATATAGATACAAAGTTAAAGAAACGGAATTTTTTTTTCCTTCTGAAGAGAACAGTTAGGATTTACTCTTTAACAACACCTATATATAACATACAGCAGTGTTAATTATATTTATCATGTTGTATATTATATCAATATCACTAGTACTTACATATAACTGAAAATTTGTACCTTTTGGCTGCCTTCATCCAATTCTCCCTCCACCTAGCCCCACCTCTGGTAACCACAAATATGATCTTTATGAGTTTGTTCTGAAGTATAATTTTCTTACAACACTATGTTTTTTCCTGTTGAGCAACATAGTAATTCAAAATGTCTATAATTTCAAAATGATCACCATGATAAGTCTAGCTACCATCTGCCACCTTACAAAGGTATTACACAGTTATTAACTATATTCCCCACACTATACATTTCATACCTATGGCTCATTTATTTGCCAAGTAGAAGTTTGTACCTCTTAATCTCCCTCACCTATTTCTTTCCTCCCCTATACCTTCCCCTCTGGAAATTATCTGCTCTCTGTATCTATAACTGTTTCTGTTTTGTTATGTTTGATCATTTGTTTTTCTTTTTTCATTTCACGTACAAGCGAAATCATACAGTATGTGTCTTTCTCTGTCTGACTTATTTTATTTACTCTAGATCCATCCATGCTGTCACAAATGGCATAATTTCATTCTTTTGATGGCTAAGTAATATTCCATTGTGTATATATGCATATATACCACATCTTCTTTATCCATTCATTTATCACTGGGCACTTGCTTCCATATCTTGGATATTGTAAATAATGCTGCAATAAATGTAGGGGTGCATATATCTTTTCTAATGAGTGTTTTCTTTTTCTTTGGATAAATACCCAGGTGGAATTGCTGGATCATATGGTAGTTTGGTTTTAATAGTTTTGGTGAATCTCCACACTGTTTTCCATATTGGCTGCACCAATTTATATTCCCACCAACAGTGCATGAGAGTTCCCTTTTGTACACATCCTGTCAACCTTCGTTGTTTGTTGTTTTTTGATAATAGCATTATGACAGTTGCGAGGTGTTATCTCACTGTGGTTTTGATTTGCATTTCCCTGATGATGAATGATGTTGAGCATCTTTTCATGTGCCTGTTCACCATCTACATGTCTTTGAAAACATGTCTAATCAAAACCTCTGCCCATTTTTTAAACAGGTTGGTTTTTGTATATTTTGGCTATTAACCACTTATTGGATCTATCATTTGCAAATATCTTCTTCCATTCAGTAGGCAGCCATTTCATTTTGCTGATTATTTCTTTCACTGGTCAAAAACTTTTTAGTTTGATTAAGTCCCATTTATTTATTTTTGCTTTTGTTTCCCTTGCTTGAGTAGATATATCCAAAAAATATTACTAAGACCAATGTCAAAGAGCTTATTGCTTATGTTTTCTTTTAGAACTTTTACGGTTGCAGTTCTTACATTTAAGTCTTTAATCCATTTTGAATTTATTTTTATGCATGGTGTGAAAAAGTAGTCCCGTTTGATTCTTCTACATGTATCTGTCCAGTTTTCCCACAACCACTCATTGAAGGGACTATCTTTTCTCCAATGTATATTTTTGCCTCCTTTGTGGTAGATTAATTGCCCATGTAAGTGCAGGTTCACTTCTGGGCTCTCTATTCTGTTTCAATGATTTATGCGTCTGTTTTTGTACGAGTACCATACTGTTTTGATTACTACAGCTTTGTAGTATAGTTTGAAATCAGAGCTCATGATACCTTCAGCTTCGTTCTTCTTTCTCAAGATTGTTTTGGCTATTCAGGGTCTTTCGTGTTTCATACAAATTTTAGAATATTTGTTCTAGTTCTGTGAGAAATCACTTTGGTATTTTGATAGGGATTGTATTGATTCTGTAGCTTGCCTTAGGGAATATGGATATTTTATATACATTATACACAAAACTGATTCTTACAATCCATGAACATGGTATATCTTTCCATCTGTTTGTGTATTCTTCAATTTCTTTCATCAGTGTTGCATAGTTTAGCAAGTACAGGTCCTTAACCTCTTTAGATTTATTCCTATGTATTTTATTCTTTTTGATGTGATTGTAAATGGTATTGTTTTCTTAATTTCTCTTTCTGATAGTTCATTTTTAGTGTCTAGAAATACAACAAATTTCTGTATATTA